TGCGCCCTCGGCCCCCTCCCGCCCCGGCCCCTGCCCCTCCGCTGCCCTTCCCCAGCCCCGCTCCCGCCGCTTCAGAAAGTCGCCGACGCGCCAAGCTTGCCAGCAGTGTTGTGAAGATCCTGACCTCACCCCACGGCCCCGGTGTACAGATGGGTAGACTGAGGCCCGGAGCAGGGCGGAGCATACTTCAGGTCCGGACGTTGGCTGAGCCTAGGCCTCCTACACGCCCTCATCCCTACCCTGCCCGAGGCAGATTCCTATAATCCATCCTAAACGTTCCCACCTCTGCTCCCTTCCTACCACTCACCCCCAGATCCACCTGTAAAGTAAACTGTCTGGAGATGAACCTGGAGCGGCAGGTGGGGGTAATCCATGGGCCTGCCCTTCACCTCTGATCACGGGCCGGAGACCTTGCAGAAGCTCTGAGCTAGGGGTTTCTGGAACCAGCTACCCCTACCCCATCCCTCCTTTAAAAAAAAGGTTTCTTCCGAACCAGACCCGGCCACCTAAAATGACCCACTGCCTTCCCTGCTCTCGCCAAGGCCTTCTCTGACTAAGGGGCTAACTGTCCCCGTATTCCTGCGCAGGGGAAAGTGTGTGCACGCCCAGGCAGCGGATCCTGGCCCCTCTTCCCACCTTCCGCCCCTCTTCCCACTCGCAGATGCCGACCCTACCCTCCACGCGTCTCTGGAGCGTTTCCACCCTCACACCTTTGCTGCAGCCTCTCCTCTCGTCTCAGCAGCACTGCCTCCTCCAGGGAGTCTTCTTGGGAGCCTGACCCTCCCCCTCCCAATTCTGCTCCCGCTGCATTCTGGGTTCTTCTCCGAATGTCCTAGATGGAAGTCGTCATTGACTAGCCCAGCCCTCAGGATTCTTTTCTACCTTCCCTCGGGTGGGGGGTGGGGTGACCTGTGCTGCCTGGACGGCTCTGGGGTGAAGATGAAGGTGAAGGCCCCTCCCTCTTCAGCCACAGATGAGGAGTAGAGGGGGCCAGGAGGGGTCTGCTTGCCCTTTACTTTTCCAGGAAAGGAAGATAGGAGAAAAGCGGGTTGGGGGAAGCTGCAGCCCCCGTCCTTCCTGGATGCCTTGAGTGCGTGGAGCTGGGGAGCCTGCAGCACCAGGGGTCTGGACAGCTAGAGCCAAACTTCCAGTGACTTCCCAGTGCCCTCAGGATGAAGCCTCAACTCTTTGAGGCCTACAGAGCTGGAATAATCTGAGCCTTGGCCACCTTTGCAGCCTCACCTCTCTTCATACTCCCACCCTCCCCTCCCTTCCCTGCTCCTCCATTTTAATGTCTTTAATTGGTGTATATTTCTTTTTATTTGTACATTGTGCTTGCAACATTGGTACAGCTGCACATATTTTTAATTGACACATGAAGTATTCTGTTCTATATAACATTAAGTTTCTTCCAGCCTTACCTTACACTCCCTACCCACACCCTTGATAATGTTCTTGGGGTGTGTTCTCATTCTGGTTCAGACTTCCAAAGATGCTGATCTCCAGCCTGCACCCGCCATCGGTCCCCCTTGGTCGTGTGGTTTACTCATGCATTTCCTTGTGTGTTGTGTGTTGAGTAGTGGGAGGGCTGGGGCTGTGTCTGACTGTCCTCAGTGCTCAGTAAGAACTTGTTCAGTAAATGTACCTAGTGATGTGTACAGGGAGGAGGCGGGGCTCAAGAAGAGGACAGGGCTGGAAGTGGAGATGGAAGGGTCCTCAGCACAGGGCTCAAACATTGAAGCCATGCTGGTGGCTGAGACAGCTCAGGAGGGAGTTTAAAGGCTACCAGAGCTGGGTGTCAGTTGCTAGAGGTGACTCAGCCTTTTGGGCTATTACGCCCACCACTCTCCCGATCAGATACTCAGCCACCCTCTCCCTGTGGCTGTTGGTTACAGACCTTGCTGATCCCAAGGAATCATTTCTTCCACTGCCCCGTCCTTCCTGCTCTAATCCTCTGGCCAGGTCCCCAGAAGGGAGTCTCTGTGACCTCGGGCGGAGTTCTAGTTTCTCTCTCTTCCCCTCTCCCTCTCTCCCTCCCTCTCTTTCCATGCTTCCATCTTCCAACTTGTAAAATGGAGGGCACTGGACCAGAGAACCCCACCAGCTTCAACATTCCTTAAGTTTGAAGATGCTGCCTCCTGATCAGGGAACTGGGCTAGGTTCAGCACTGGAGTTAATGAGGGTCTCGTAGGCTGCCTAGGTTTGCATTCTCCTGGGCCGTGTACTGGGAAAACCAGACCAGATAGAGACCAGGGCCGGGAGTTAGCAAGGGCTGCATTGGTGGCTTAGAGTAGGGAGCCCAATGGGTGTTGGGATTTGGAGCTAAGAAGAGAAGGAGGATAAGGGAAAATATAAGAGAGTAAAAGGAATCAAATAAGTGATGTGTTTTCTCCAGAAATGCAGCTCCCTGTCCTGGGATGGGCTCACCAGATGTTGCCCAGATGTTGCTGGTGATGGGAAACATCTCCCTCTGGGATCCCAAGTAAGCTCTTCCTGTTGGTGGGGAAATGAAGGGTCTGTTCCAGGGTAAGGAGGGTGGGGTCTGGAGCAGCATCCATCTGTGACTATGGCACATACATAGGCAGAAACACACCCACACATCCTCAGGGAATTGGTGAATATTTAGGAGAGTCCAATGAGTTTCTCAAATATTCAGCATCCATGGACCACCCATTTTAGGTAAATAAACTATTACTAGTTATAAATAGATATTTTTAAAAATTAACAATGCAGTCCCATCAGAAGACGACAATGAAAAGGACAAATTTTTAAAATACCAAATGTAGCAACATTGAAAATTCAACCATATTTATTATACATTGTTGGTGGGAGGGGGAATTGATACAATCAGTTTGGATAATAATTTGGCAGTACCTGCTAAGGCCAAACATAGGTCAACTTTATGATCTTGTAATTCTATTCATCAGTATATACCCAAGAGAAACAAGGTGCTTATGTCTACCAAAAGACACAAGAATGTTATAGCAGCTTTATTTATAATAGCCTAAAACCAGAAACAACCTAATGTTCAGTCAGTGAGTGGAAACAAATTGTGATATATCTCACAATAGAATATTACACAGCACTGAAAAAGAACAAATGACTGCCTCATACAAAGACAGGGATGAGTCTTTAAAACATTATATTGAGTAAAAAGCCTGAGTACAAAAGAAGAATAACTATGATTCCATTTCTTTATATAAAGTTTGAAAATGGGCAGAACTAAAGCACCATGATAGATAACGTTACCTTTGGAAATATTGACTAGTGCTCGCTTTGGCAGCACATATACTAAAATCAGAAGTATTGAGTAGAAAGAGTCACAGGAGAGCCTTCTGGGATGCTGGAGATGTTCTATGTCTTGATCTGGGCAGTGGTTGCACAAGTACGTACATACATAAAAAATTCAAGTTCTACACCAGATTTGTTCTGAAATTTTTGCCTTGGTAAGAGGAAGATGGGAAGGAATGACAATTATAGTGCTGTAATTGTGAAAGAGATAACTTCCAACAGCAAGTCTGCCTCCCAACCAATGAGGGACATCTGGGACTCACAGGTCAGATTCAACTTTTAGGTTTTTCTCCATCTAAATTAGTGTTAACGGGTAAGAATTTTATTCCACCAGGATTCTTAGGTGCGAGGAGCTTCATGTTATTTTATATCTAAGAGTTTTATAGTTTTAGCTCTTACATTAGGTCTTTATTTAAGAGTTAATTTTTGTATGTGGTATAAGGTCAGAGTCCAGCTTCATTCTTTTGCATGTAAATATCCAGTTTTTCCAGCACCATTTGTTGAAAAATGGCATTTTTCAAAATCAAATCAAAGCAGCTGAGTCCCCAAGAGAACTTCAACCTCAATCAGCAGGGGCATTCTCCCTTGTGCCGCCCCAACCCCAACCCCGCCAAGGCTTGTCTGAGGGATGGAGATGGCTTTCATTGTCCAGGATGGCCTGGCTCTCTGATTTTCTTTCTGTCCATGTTGTTTGCTCATGGCCAATGGGCTCCTTATCCAAGCCTATGGATTCACTGAGCCTAGGTGGTGGCTCTGCCGTTTCCCCACTCTTGGTTATGGGGAGGAAAGAGGAGTCTTTAGTGAGGCTGGGAACAGGAACTGAGAGTTGTCTTCTTAGGATGTTCAAACATCCCTCTCTGGACAACTCCACCCTACCAGCTCCTCTTCTTCCCAGTCTGGAGAAGAGTCCTGTCCCTCTCCATCTTGCCTCTTCTACCTTCCCCTAAAAGGAACTTGCCTCTCCAGGCCCCCATCCCTCCTCTCTCCCTAGTCCCTAAAGGTCTGACTCTCAGACCAACAGCCATCAGCATTACCTGAGAAATTGTTAGAAATTTGGATTCCTGGGTCCTCCCCAAACCCACTGAACCAGAAACTCTGGGAGGAAGGCTCTGCAACCTGTGTTCTAGCAAAGCCTCCATTGATTCCGGTGCACATCGAAGTTTGAGGCCTACTGCACTAAGGCCTTGGACAGCAAAGCTGAGGAAAGGGGACTGTCTTCAAGCACATTTCTTGAACATTCTTCTTTATCTAAACTGAAAGACTTTTGAGTGTAGATCTGTGGATTAAAAATCTGAGCTATTGAATTCTGGGTCAAAGGATTTTGACAGATATTGCCAAATCGCCCTCCCGAAAGTTGGACCAATCTCACTCTCAACCAGGAGAATCTGATCATGCCTGTTTCCCAACATCCTCCCTGGCACTGGATATTATCAGACTTACTGATCTCTGCTAGTCTGATAGGAGAAACAAAGGAGATATATTAATGTTTTAATTAGCATTTCTCTATGAGTGAAATTGAGGC